GTGCCCTTCCTGCCAAAATGGAACTGTAGAGGAGAGTCTACTGAGCAAGCCAGTACCTGCCGCATACCAGTACTGCCATCTGTTGAGGAGTTACGAAGGTGGAGGCATTACTTTTCATTGAACCCTCGTAGAATCCTAAAGCTGGAAGAGACCTCTTGGGCCGTCCAGTCCGACCCCATGTCACCCTCATCTGGATACATTCCAGATTGTCAACATCTCCCTTCAGTGGTGGTGCCCAGAATTCCTGCCAAAATGGAACTGTAGAGTCGAGTCTACTGAACAAGCCAGTACCTGCCGAATACCAGTACTGCCATCTGTTGAGGAGTTATTACTTTTCATTCAACCCTCGCAAAATCCTAGAGTTGAAAGACATCTCTTGTCAGCATCTCCCTTCAGTTGTGGTGCCCAGCATTCTTGCTAAAATGGAAGTGTAGAGGAGAATTTCCTGAGCAAGCCAGTACCTGCTACATGCCAGTACTGCCGTCTGTTGAGGAGTTACGAAGGTGGAGGCATTACTTTTCATTCAACCCTCATAAAATCCTAGAGCTGGAAGAGACCTCTTGGGCCATCCAGTCCAGCCCCATGTCGCCCTCCTCTGGACACATTCCAGCTTGTCAACATCTTCCTACAGTTGTGGTGCCTAGAATTCCTACCAAAATGGAACACTAGAGGAGAGTCTACTGAACAAGCCAGTACCTGCCGAATACCAGTACTGCGATCTGTTGAGGAGTTATGAAGGTGGAGGCATTACTTTTCATTCAACCCTCGCAAAATCCTAGAGTTGGAAGACATCTCTCGTCAACATCTCCCTTCAGTTGTGGTGCCCAGAATTCATGCCAAAATGGAACTGTAGAGGAGAGTCTACTGAACAAGCCAGTATCTGCTGCATACCAGTACTGCCATCTGTTGAGGAGTTATGAAGGTGGAGGCATTACTTTTCATTCAACCCTCGTCAGTAAACACTGTATGGCCATTTCCCAGAAGCATTCTCCAGACTTTTAGTCACCCTCCTCTGGACACATTCTAGCTTGTCAACATCTCCCTTCAGTGGTGGTGCCCAGAATTCCTGCCAAAATGGAACTGTCGAGGAGAGTCTACTGAACAAGCCAGTACCTGCCACATACCAGTACTGAATTTCCTTTGGGGTGACACCTTCTGCTGTCAAGAATTCAATGACTGCACATTGCTTAAGTCGCATTGACCGACCGTCTGTGCAGGGTTCCATACTTCGCACTTTAACAACACAACCGTTCAATACTAAGGCTTCCCGCCAAAATGGAACTGTAGCAGAGAGTCTACTGAACAAGCCAGTACCTGCCACATACCAGTACTGCCGTCTGTTGAGGAGTTATGAAGGTGGAGACATTACTTTTCATTCAACCCTCGTAAAATCCTAGAGCTGGAAGAGACTTCTTGGGCCATCCAGTCCGACCCCATGTCACCCTCCTCTGGATACATTTCAGGTTGTCAACATCTTCCTACAGTTGTGGTGCCCAGAATTCCTGTCAAAATGGAACTGTAGAGGAGAGTCTACTGAACAAGCCAGTACCTGCCGAATACCAATACTGCTATCTGTTGAGGAGTTGCAAAAGTAGAGGCATTACTTTTCATCCAACCCTCGTAAAATCCTAGAGCTGGAAGAGACCTCTTGGGCCATCCAGTCTTACCCCAGTCTGGGTTGTTGTGAGCTTTCCAGGCTATATGGCCATGTTCCAGAAGCATTCTTCAGACCTTTAGTCGCCCTCCTCTGGACACATTCCAGCTTGTCAACATCTTCCTACAGTTGTGGTGCCCAGAATTCCTGCCAAAATGGAACTGTAGAGGAGAGTCTAGTGAACAAGCCAGTACCTCCCAAATACCAAATACCATCTGTTGAGGAGTTACGGAGGGGGAGGCATTACTTTTCATTCAACCCTCGCAAAATCCTAGAGTTGGAAGACATCTCTTGTCAACATCTCCCTTAGTTGTGGTGCCCAGAATTCCTGCCAAAATGGAACTGTAGAGGAGAGTCTACTGAACAAGCCAGTACCTGCTGCATACCAGTACTGCCATCTGTTGAGGAGTTACGAAGGTGGATGCATTACTTTTCATTCAACCCTCGTACATAAAAGTGCTGGATGAGTCCTCTTGGGCCATCCAGTTCAACCCCATGTCACCCTTGTCTGGACACATTCCAGATTGTCAACATCTCCCTTCAGTGGTGGTGCCCAGAATTCCTGCCAAAATGGAACTGTAGAGGAGAGTCTACTGAACAAGCCACTACCTGCCACATACCAGTACTGCCATCTGTTGAGGAGTTATGAAGGTGGAGGCATTACTTTTCATTCAACCATGGCAAAATCCTAGAGTTGGAAGACATCTCTTGTCAACATCTCCCTTCAGTTGTGGTGCCCAGAATTCCTGCCAAAATGGAACCGTAGAGGCAGGCCCGTAGCCAGGATTTCATTTCGGGGGGGGGGGGGGGGGGGGGGGCTGAGTCCACGCGGGGGAGGGTCTACCCTAGCAAAACTTTTGTATTGTTACCCCAATACCCCCATGCATATGGGATATATTGAGTAGGGTGATCAGATCATGATATGAATAAACATAACAGTTTAAATAATGCACCAGTAAGGCCTTTTCGCGAACCACCATGAGAATTTCGGGGGGCTGAAGCCCTCCAAGCCCCCCCCCCTGGCTACATGCCTGCGTAGAGGAGAGTCTACTGAACAACCCAGTACCTGCCGAATACCAGTACTGCCATCTGTTGAGGAGTTGCGAAGGTGGAGGCATTACTTTTCGTCCAACCCTCGTAAAATCCTAGAGCTGGAAGAGACCTCTTGGGCCATCCAGTCCGACCCCATTTCGCCCCCCTCTCAACACATTCCAGCTTGTCAACATCTTCCTACAGTTGTGGTGCCTAGAATTCCTACCAAAATGGAACACTAGAGGAGAGTCTACTGAACAAGCCAGTACCTGCCGAATACCAGTACTGCGATCTGTTGAGGAGTTATGAAGGTGGAGGCATTACTTTTCATTCAACCCTCGCAAAATCCTAGAGTTGGAAGACATCTCTCGTCAACATCTCCCTTCAGTTGTGGTGCCCAGAATTCCTGCCAAAATGGAACTGTAGAGGAGAGTCTACTGAACAAGCCAGTATCTGCTGCATACCAGTACTGCCATCTGTTGAGGAGTTATGAAGGTGGAGGCATTACTTTTCATTCAACCCTCGTCAGTAAACACTGTATGGCCATTTCCCAGAAGCATTCTCCAGACTTTTAGTCACCCTCCTCTGGACACATTCTAGCTTGTCAACATCTCCCTTCAGTGGTGGTGCCCAGAATTCCTGCCAAAATGGAACTGTCGAGGAGAGTCTACTGAACAAGCCAGTAGCTGCCACATACCAGTACTGAATTTCCTTTGGGGTGACACCTTCTGCTGTCAAGAATTCAATGACTGCACATTGCTTAAGTCGCATTGACCGACCGTCTGTGCAGGGTTCCATACTTCGCACTTTAACAACACAACCGTTCAATACTAAGGCTTCCCGCCAAAATGGAACTGTAGCGGAGAGTCTACCGAACAAGCCAGTACCTGCCACATACCAGTACTGCCATCTGTTGAGGAGTTATGAAGGTGGAGACATTACTTTTCATTCAACCCTTGTAAAATCCTAGAGCTGGAAGAGACTTCTTGGGCCATCCAGTCTGACCCCATGTCACCCTCCTCTGGATACATTTCAGGTTGTCAACATCTTCCTACAGTTGTGGTGCCCAGAATTCCTGTCAAAATGGAACTGTAGAGGAGAGTCTACTGAACAAGCCAGTACCTGCCGAATACCAATACTGCTATCTGTTGAGGAGTTGCAAAAGTAGAGGCATTACTTTTCATCCAACATCTCCCTTCAGTTGTGGTGCCCAGAATTCCCGCCAAAATGGAACTGTAGAGGAGAGTCTACTGAACAAGCCAGTACCTGCCACATACCAGTACTGAACCTTCTGCTGTCAAGAATTCAATGGCTGCACATTACTTAAGTCTCATTGACCGACTGTCTGTGCAGGGTTCCATACTTCGCACTTTAACAACACAAGCGTTCAATGCTAAGGCTTTCTGCCAAAATGGAACTGTAGAGGAGAGTCTACTGAACAAGCCAGTACCTCCCAAATACCATCTGTTGAGGAGTTACGGAGGGGGAGGCATTACTTTTCATTCAACCCTCGCAAAATCCTAGAGTTGGAAGACATCTCTTGTCAACATCTCCCTTAGTTGTGGTGCCCATAATTCCTGCCAAAATGGAACTGTAGAGGAGAGTCTACTTAACAAGCCAGTACCTGCCGCATGCCAGTACTGCCATCTGTTGAGGAGTTACGAAGGTGGAGGCATTACTTTTCATTCAACCCTCGTCAGTAAGTACTTTGCAGTCTTCTGTTTCGTAACATTCTGCACAGAGTAGTAGACCGTGCCGAGGAAGAAAGTTGGATGGCACACAGAGCAGCCAGACAGGTGGCAATATTGTTAGTTTAAGGGGGCAACAGTTTCCTTCCAGCAGGGGCAAAGGAGGCATGCCCTTGACGTCACAGGACGTCCGTCTCGGGAAGAGAGTGGAGGTACTTGAAGTCCTATCATCCATGGTCTGTCCTCCTCGAAAGTACACCAGGATGTAGATTGGTTCACGGGGACTCTCTGTGCCAAGTTTGGTCTTGATCAGTCATTGGCAAGGGTCTCAGTGGTCTCAGGAAGATCACAACAGCGGAGACCTCCGCTGCCCACCTGCCCCAGCCTTTTAATTCCTCTGCTGCGTTCATTTGTGCTTTGTTGCTAGCTGGTGACATCACCCGCTTGCCCACCCCCTGCCTCTTATCCGTGTCGTTTTCTCTCCCTCCCTCCCTCTCTCTCTCCTTCTCTCAATTCGCAGACACGCAGCCAGCGAGCGAACCAACACTATGAACGGATCAACGGTGACTCCGAGGACGATCTGAGCCAGCCGAGGTGCCACGGGAAACTCTCTGCTGCTTTCTCCTTTTGGCCTGCCACCGCTTTCTCCTCGTCATTGCGGGCATCCTTGACCGGGGCCACCTCTCCGTCTGCAGTTTTTTTTCCTTCCTGGCAGGGCATTCCCTTCGGGCGCTGTATGCATGACACTCCGAAAAGGAGAGAAAACCACAATCAGCATCCAAGAACACATGGCCATTGACGTCTGCCCTGGACCCATCCGCCCCATCAAGCAGATCTCGGATTACTTTCCCCGTTTTCCCCGTGGCCTCCCCGCCACGGTCAGCCGGAGCAACAGCCTGCGCTCTTCGTCCAGCCAGGCCACGGTCAGCCCCTCGGAAACAGCCCCCCGGGAAGATGACGAGGACGTGGACCAACTTTTCGGGGCGTACGGGACGGAGCCGGTGGAGCAGCCCGCCAAGCCGCCTGTCAAACAAGAGGAGGAGGCGGTGGATGCAGATGGATACGAATCCGACGACTGCAGTAAGTGGCCAAAGTCTTCTCTTGGGTGGTTGGTTGTTTGGGGGTTGTAGTGGCCAGACGATTTCCCTTGGTTCGGATTAGGGTTGGCCGATCCGTAGAGGTCGCGGGGCTGCCTTTGAAGACTGTTCGGGAATTACAACTAGTCCAACGGGCGGCAACTGGAGCGACATACTGGGAGCATACCACCTCCTTGTTGTGCCAGCTGGTCCACTTCCGAGCTCAATTCATAGTGCTGGTTTTGACCTGGTTTGGGGGGGCGGGGGTGCCAAAATAAAGTCCTATACGGTTCTGTCCGAACGCATCTCCCTCTACATCCCGCCTCGCAGTTTAAGATCATCCGGTGAGGCCCTGCTCTCGCTCCCGCCAGCATCGCAAATACGTCTGGTTTTGTCATGTCGTGTCAGGAGCAACTTGAGCAACTGCAAGTCGCTTCTGGTGTGAGAGAATTGGCCGTCTGCAAGGACGTTGCCAAGGAGACGCCTGGATGATTTGATGTTTTTATCATCCTTGTGGGAGGCTTCTCTCATGTCCCCGTATGAGGAGCTGGAGCTGACAGAGGGAGCTCATCCACCTCTCCCCAGATTCGAACCTGTGACCTGTCGGTCTTTAGTCTTACCGGAACAGGGTTTAACCCACTGCGCCACTGGGGGCTCCTAATACGTCTGGTGGGGACAAGAGACAGGGCCTTCTTGGCTGTGGCTCCCCACTTGTTGAACTCGCTTCCCACTGAGGTATCATTAGCTCCGTCCCTCCTGTAGAATCATAGAATCCTAGAGTTGGAAGAGACCTCATGGGCCATCCAGTCCAACCCCATTCTGCCAAGAAGCAGGAATATTGCATTCAAATCACCCCTGACAGATGGCCATCCAGCCTCCCTTTAAAAGCTTCCAAGGAAGGAGTCTCCACCACCATTTCATATCAAAACATTGCATTAATTAGTATAAAAATAGGTGGAGCGCAGGCGGCTAAATATCTCTTGACCAAAAACGGGCAACAGCAATGGCATTGCCTGTAACCTCGAGGAAAAGAGATTGAAAGATGGGCTCAAAGCCAACCTTAAAAACTCTGGCATAAACACTAAGAACTGGGAAGCCCTGGAGTTGTTGTATCAGCTCAAGTCCTCCCTCTTTAAAAATTTCAAGCAGGGATCCCATCAGGTCCGCTGGCTTTGTTATTTTTTTGTTGGCTGATGGCATTGCTGACTTCTTCCAAATGAGGCAGTGCTGCAAGCTCAAAGCCCTGGCCCTTGAGCGCTCCAGCGGGAGGTCAGCTGTGACCAGCAGTGCTGCAGAATTTGAAGAGGCAGGACTGGAGGGCGAAAGAGAGAAACGTGCCAAGAGGAAGGCGTGTCATGCCAACCTCGACCAGGACCGCCTTCCACCTGGAAAGCAATGCCCTCACTGCGGGAGAAGATGCAGAGCAAGAATAGGGCTCCACGGTCACCTACGGACAGGGGTGGCTCAACCCATTATGCAAAGTAAACATTTGCAGTATAGTTGATTTTGCCCAGGGGCGCTCTTGGGGGAAAATAGACCTTGACATATGCGAGTTGCAATTATTGGGATGTATAGTTCACCTACAATCAAAGAGCATTCTGAACTCCACCAATGTTGGCACACAGAACTCCCACGACGAACAGAAAATATATATCAGTGATTGGTTGGGGGGGGGGGGGGCACCAAAATACTGTTTGCTTACCGTTGAAAATTACCCAGGGCCGCCTCTGCCTACGGACCCTGATCTTGTAAGACTATCCTACTCGGCCAACGAGGGATCGCCTAAGGAAAGGAACCTCTAAATAATATCCTTTGACCAAAAACGGGCGACAGCAACGGCATTGTCTGTAGCCTCCAACAATTCTTCCTGTGTACATGAGGCAGGGCATTGTGGACAAGCACACAGGCTGAGACGTGACTCCAGAACTTGTGCAAACGCACACCTGGCCCACATCTGCGGAGATGCCAGGCAAGCCGTGGTTGCCTCCTTCCTTGTAGTGTGAGTCCAATTCTAATCTATTCAGTGTGGACAAGGTTGGAGAGGGTTTCAAAGGTTTGGATGAAAGCAGGCATCGAGGGAAAGGAAACAACAAGCAGCAGAGCTCCGTTGGGAGAGGACTGTGCAAACGCTCCGAAGCTTGCAAAATGCAGTCAGGCACAGCATTCTGGAGACTTGCAGAGCCCTTGCCGATCCGTCTTCGGTGTCTTATAGACTCAGAGAGTTCCACTGCTGAACAGTTCTCATAGAATAGAATCATAGAATCCTAGAGTTGGGAGAGATCTCATGGGCCATCCAGTCCAAGCCCATTCTGCCAAGAAGCAGGAAAATTGCATTCAAAGCACTCCCGACAGATGGCCATCCAGCCTCTGTTTATAAGTTTCCAAAGAAGGAGCCTCCACCACATTCCGGGGCAGAGAGTTCCCCTGCTGAACAGCTCTCATTGTCTGAAAGTTCTTCGTAATGTTCAGGGGGAATCTCCTTTCTTGTAGTTTGAAGCCATTGCTCCACGTCCTAGTCTCCAGGGCAGGAGAAAACAAATTCGCTCCTTCCTCCCGATGACTTCCTCTCACATACTTATACATGGCCCTCATCATGTCTCCTTCAGCCTTCTCTTCTTCAGGCTAAACCTGCCCAGTTCTTTAAGCCACTCCTCATAGGACTTGCTCTCCAGACCCTTAATCATTTGAGTCACCCTCCTCTGGACGCATTCCAACTTAGAGTCAATATCCCCCTTACATCTCACATATTTATACATGGCCCTCATCATGTCTCCTCTCAACCTTCTCTTCTTCAGGCTAAACATGCCCAGCTCTTTAAGCCGCTCCTCATATGGCTTGTTCTCCAGACCCTTGATCATTTGAGTCGCCCTCCGCTGGACACATTCCAAACCTGCCCAGTTCTTTAAGCCACTCCTCATAGGACTTGCTCTCCAGACCCTTGATCCATTGAGTCACCCTCCTCTGGACACATTCCAACTTAGAGTCAATATCCCCCTTACATCTCACATATTTATACATGGCTATCATGTCTCCTCTCAGCCTTCTCTTCTTCAGGCTAAACATGCCCAGCTCTTTAAACCGCTCCTCATAGGGCTTGTTCTCCAGACCCTTGATTATTTTAGTCGCCCTCATCTGGACGCATTCCAGCTTAGAGTCAACATCCCCCTTACATCTCACATATTTATACATAGCTGTCATGTATCCTCTCAGCCTTCTCTTCTTCCGGCTAAACATGCTCAGCTCGTTAAGCTGCTCCTCATAGGGCTTGTTCTCCAGACCCTTGATCATTTGAGTCGCCCTCCGCTGGACGCATTCTAGCTTAGAGTTACTATCTCCCTTACATTTCACATTTGTATACATGGCTATCATGTCTGCTCTCAGCCTTTTCTTCTTCCGGCTAAACATGCCCAGCTCTTTAAGCCACTCCTCATAGGGCTTGTTCTCCAGACCCTTGATCATTTGAGTCGCCCTCCTCTGGACACATTCCAGCTTAGAGTCAATATCTCCCTTACATCTCACATATTTATACATGGCTGTCATGTCTCCTCTCAGCCTTCTCTTCTTCCGGCTAAACATGCCCAGCTCTTTAAGCCGTTCCTCATAGGGATTGCTCTCCAGACCCTTGATTATTTTAGTCTCCCTCTTCTGGACACCTTCCAGCTTGTCAACATCTCCCTTCAGTTGTGGTGCCCAGAACTGGACAAAGTATTCCAAGTATGATCCAACCAAGGCAGAATAGAGCGATAGCATGGCCTCTGGATCTAAACACTATACTTCCCCTCACATACTTATACATGGCTATCTTGTCTCCTCTCAGCCTTCTCCTCTTCAGACTAAACATGCCCAGCTCTTTAAGCCGCTCCTCATAGGGCTTGTTCTCCAGTCCCTTGATCATTTTAGTTTATTTATTTATTTATTTATTTATGACATTTCTATGCTGCCCTTCTCAACCCGAAGCAGACTCAGAGCGGCTTACAAGATATATATACATACAATATATTAAATTATTTGCATAGTACAATATCAGTATTATATATTACTAGCAGGAGCCCCCGGTGGCGCAGTGGGTTAAAGCACTGAGCTGCTGAGCTTGTTGATCGAAAGGTCACAGGTTCGATTCCGGGGAGCGGTGTGAGCTTCCGCTGTCAGCCCTAGCTTCTGCCAACCTAGCAGTTCAAAAACATGCAAATGTGAGTAGATCAATAGGTACCACTCCGGCGGGAAGGTAACAGCGCTCCATGCAGTCATGCCGGCCACATGACCTTGGAGGTGTCTACGGACAACGCTGGCTCTTCGGCTTAGAAATGGAGATGAGCACCACACCCCAGAGTCAGACATGACTGGACTTATTGTCAGGGGACTACCTTTACCTTTACCTTTTATATCACTAGCATCACCTCTCTCCCCAGATATGAGATGGGTCTTTGCTTTCTCTCAGCTCTTTAAGCCGTTCCTCATAGGGCTTGTTCTCCAGACCCTTGATTATTTTAGTTGCCCTCCTCTGGACACTTCCCAGCTTGTCAATATCTCTCTTCAATTGTGGTGCCCAGAATTGGACACAATATTCCAGGTGTGGTCTATCCAATAGAGCATGGGGAGCATGACTTCCCTGAATCTAGACACTATGCTCGTATTGATGTTGGACAAAATCCCATTTTTAGCATCAGAGGTGATTTTGACCTTAACCTTTCTTACCATTTGCACCTTTCTCTTTCTAGACATTGTGGCTTTTTTCCTGTTGCAAAACACTGTGACAGAGAAGCCTTCCTGTCATTCTCAGCGCGTGTTGATTTGTATGTGTGCTTGCGTGCTTTACCTTTGCGCGGGGGAACCCTGTGACTGTCACCCCTGCGGTACAAAACATCTTAAGCGATTCCATCCATCTCCTTTTCTCATTCCTTGAGCTTTCAGCTTCGAGAGCCCCGCACCATTGTGTCCCTTCCGACTCCGGTGTCTCAATGTCACCGCGCCACCGCCGACCACCTTGGGTGGGCTGAGCACTTG